GAACTTCTGCCGGAACGACTTTGATACCAGGCAATACAGACCACGTTTAACACCTAAAAACTCGGTTTTTTGTCTAAATAGCTGCCGAAGCCTACCTTCCCGTTGAGATCCAGCGAGAAGAAGATGTTGGTCAAGAAGAGGCGCAATTCCCAGGAGGGCACCATCCAAGTGGTCGACCAATTGCGATCAGTGCGTATTAGCAACTCCCACAAGAACGGCAAAACCAGCCAGAACTGAAATTGTTATTACGGTTTTCTCATATTTCAAAAAAAAGTCAAAGAAATTTTGGTACTGGTCGGTTAGCGGGGGGGGGGACAAATTTTTCCGAGCAGACCCTAGAACCAAATAAAAGCGTATCGTATTGAAAAAGCCCAGAAAAAAAATTGAAAATTTTAGAACGAATTTATAGTTAAAGATGTATGAAAAAAGAAGCGAAATTTTTGAAAATTCAATAATTTATAATATATTTTAAAGCTATTGTTTCTGGCAAACAAAACTACTAAAAGCACCTTATACATTTGTTGTACATTAGTAACAGGGATACGCGGAAAAAAAACGGAAAAAACGGAACGGAAAAAAGCGGACATTAACCCACCCCGCAAACCCCGCTAATAGCCCAGCACCCAAAATTATTAAACCCCACGTCCGTTACAAGATTCCAGGCGAAGATTGTAAAAATCGTCCCCGTAACCGCTCGATCTTGAAGCCGCTGGTTCCCGGAGGAGTCGCTGGAAGCAACAGCTTTTCCGGAGAACCGGCACAACTTACGGCCTCCTACGAAGCTCGTACACGATGCCGATGTTGAGCAGCAGAATCAAGACGTACGGGACCACGAAACATGCAACCGATAGCCACTTGGCCCATCCGATGACATCATGGTTCGTGATCTGGGCCAGTAAACCTTGCCCAAATGGTTGCACAGCGGGGACACGCTTGCGCCGCGCGTACTCGAACACCAGGAAGCAGTATGGGGAGAGCTGCAAATCACGTGAAAATTGGTTTGAAACGAACTCTTTGTAAAGGCCTCATCATCCGCATAGCTCTTAAAGGGACCAAGGATTTGAAGTGTTTTGACCGAGCGTAAAGCGCGGATTTTTAGCGGCGGAAGCCAAATTTTTCCCTGTGATTCCCATAACAAAATATAAACCGTTTTTAGAGCATTTTACTAGGTTTTTATATATAAAAACCACATAAAAATCATGTTGATGAACTTGCTGTGGCTACTGCTCGAAAAGAGACAACATAGACAACATACCCCAGCTTTCGAGCGTGAAACTTCGGTATAGTCGTAGTAGCCTTCGAATAGGCGATAGGCCGATAGGAGGCTGGCTCCTGAAGGAAAGTGCTTTAGAGGGACTCTCGTCGGGCCGAGCCGAGCCGGCATTTTGGGACGGGCAGAGACGCAGGGTACTGTCTGCGTCTCTCCTCTGGGCGCGCTCTTTCTCTCCCCACCGTGACGCAGCCGACCGCAACGCTTCTACGACGAGTGGTAAAACGGACCTCTTTCCAGAGCACCTTTTAGGGGATGGGCAAAGCTCGTTTTTCCGCAAAAAAAAAGCTCGAGATTCCGGGAATACGAACGATCGCGTAATGAGATGGATACGGAATCTGCGGCGCACAGGGTGAAAAAGCGGAAAATTGTGAAATCAGCGCTGCGTGTTGCAAGCGGCAAAATCCTTAAGGAACCTGCGGTCATGCTTTGTCCGTTCCCTTTAAAAAAGTCCAGAAGTCTCTAGCACAACGGGTTGGCACTAATTGGCAATATTCTGTTAACTTACCAACTAAGCTAAAGACCGCTAGGGCGCGCACGTGATTCGACTGTAATCTCGTGTGGAATGGCGTGCGGATTGCCGCGTATCTAGGAGCGTGACGTAGCAGGTGATAAAATCATTGTTACCTCTCAACAGCGACCCCGACCATCAGCCATGATGACGTGGCCGCAAAGACGTTCGCTCCCGTGTGACACCAAAAGTGGGAAGCGTAATAAAATCTTCTAAAACATTTTTAAATTAACCACCACGATGCGCTTTATTACCTGAAATACGGATGAGTGTACATCGTCTGCAGTGTGGTCAAGAAATCGGGGACGCAGTGAATGAAGAACAAAATGTCGGCGATGGAGATGGCGGAGAGCAGCAGCGTCATGTCCTGAATTTCGTCAAATACATAAAAGGTAAAAGGGCTCTTTCGCATTATCGGGGGGCGGCCAAACCTTTTTTTATATCTATAAATGCCTAGTAACTTAATAGAAAGTGTTTTAATCGTGTTTTAGTAATATATATGGCTGTATTTCAACCAACAAAACTAACTAAAACTTTTAAAGAGGCTCCGCAATCTGGTCCACGGCCCCCTGCTGTGATTTCTGGCAAATAGCCAGATGCGGCCGCAACGCGACCGTGCCGCGTATTCTCTGGTCCCTGTTTGCAAGGGAAAACGCTTGAATTTCAGAATTCTGACGCTATTTCTGTAATCCTCATCCAATTTTGATCACTCTAGCCGTTTTAATTATTAAAATAGGTTAGAGAATCACCAATATCGAGAGATTGAGTGCCTTACAAGGCATTACGACATGTAATCGCTGCCCACGCAAAAAGTCGTTTTCGCCCCAAAAAGATTTCGGTTTTTCTCAAACATTTTACGTTTTTTCGCGCCGAAATCACTTTCCAGGTACTTTTTGGCAGTAACCCTTTAGTTTTTTTTGACTAGCAGGTTCAATCTCCGAACACGCGAATTTTCACTTCCGAGCCCCTTTAAAAACATCGAAGTTTTGGTCAAAAATCGGCTATCTTCGCTCGAAAAATCAATATTTTTGTTATTTTTAATACAAATTTGTAAAGTTTTCACGTTTAAAGATAATAAAAAACCATTTTGAAACACATCCACTATGATAGTTAAAAAATTATGTCCTAAGAAAAAAGTTGGTCCCCCCCCCCCGATAATGCGAAGGAACCAGTAAAAGAAACAAACGCTTGCTGGCTCGATGCCAGAGTGCAAAACACCCAGATTTATCACATTGAAGAAGACGCCGAGGGCGATATGAATTGGGAGCACGTAGCGCAGCAGAAATATCTCCATCGGGGCTCTGATAATTTGCAGGAAGGTGTCGCACCCGTGGTACTGGAAAGAAAAACAACCGAATACTGGCCTAGCGTAGCGCACGCAACGCGGCCGCTGCGCGCCGAGCGACATGGGGAGCAGTCGAACCCCCTTGATTAAGAGCCGTTTTCGGATTGAGCGAGTTACATCATGAAAAACCTTAAAAAAACTACTTCTTTTGCGTAACCGGTCGGTAATATTCCAATTAATGGGTCGTTCGAACGACCCGAAGAAAACTCACAAATTCAGCAATCGTAGTCACGGTCTGTAGGCCTTCCACGGAAGGCATCGAATAAGTGATGTTCCAATTATGCCTTGCGAGCACGGCCTCAATAAGACGATTCTGCGCCTCCATTTCGCGCGGATGGCCGGATAAACTGAAGTAGTAGTCCCAGTCAACTTTGAAAACGATACGTGATACGATACGTGAAGGTGCGTAAATTTACACTTCAGCCTTCAAGCGGCGCTGTTTAGTGTTGTTGGGGTTTTGCAAAGTGTGTCGCTTGTGCAGAATTTTACGTTGATTCCGAATATGTTTACCAAATTTGCGCAATCGTGATTTTTCGAAAGTTAAGAACGACCTAAGAATGATAAATGCCAAAATGAGCCACTTTCAATGGTTTGCCTCGCTTAAAGATTTCGAAAAATTGCGATTCCGCAAACTTGGCTAATTCGGAATCAGCGTAAACTTCTGCACATGGTAGGCTTGGTCCCAACTTAAAACCCCCGACTTTTAAAAACGTCTGAAAGAAATAAAATATGCGTAAAATAACAATTATTAGCTTACAAAAAACAACGGGCTCCGAAGCTACCTTGTTTCTTTGAACCTTGGGAGTGGGCCAAAAACGCGCCCGTCTTCATTAGGCTGACCCTCACCCCCTTCCGGTCACATCCCCTAGCCCTCCCAAAAAAAAAAACACCCGAAAACGAGTGTCAAATTAAACCTCGCGGAGCAAACGATAAAAACGATGAGAAAGAGCTCGCTTTGATGGCTTAAATTCTCAAGATACCTTGCCTGATCTGGTCATAACTGGCCCAGCTACATTGCAAACAAAATTACAGTAATTATTTTGTTTACTTAAAACTCGAGTGGTAGCTCCTCCGCGCATCAAAAGAACTTTAAAGACATCTTCTGAACGATGCCATTGTTATTCAGCTCCCACGTCCCAAAGGGGTTGAACCTTTTTCGGGTTTGAAACTTTTCCGTCGAGTTTCAGAATCATATAGATCCCTTTTGCAATTGTTTACGATGATTCTAAACCCGTATACGGTAGATGGGCTTGTTTTCGTAATTGTCTTAATTTTCGTGTTTTTTCTACTCATCAGAGACAGCGGTTCCAAATTTCTGACCGGAAATTGGCAAAATAGACTTTTGGAACGTTACTGTTTCTTTCTCTCTACTCTTGTCCTTTCCCTGTTTTTTTTGCTAGATCTGTGTTTATTAAGATCTTTCCAAAAAAAAGCTATTTATGCAGCGCATGATGATTACAGTATTAGAAAAATCCGCATTTACAGAAAATGGATCGTGACGTGCTTAATACTTGTCCATTCGGGTCACATTCTGGCTCATCGTCGGCTCGTCGTTGGCCGGGAAGTACGACGGGGCACGCACCTGGAAATTTGTAATTTACGGTAACACAGTAATGAAAGCTACGTTTCAAACTCAAGAAACTAATTATTACAAAATCGAAGTGGCTGGAACCAGCAAAAAAATTCGAAATTTGCTTAAGGGGCCAAAAGATGCGTTTTAAAGCGATATCTTCTAGCGTATCCTTTTCTCTGGCCTTCATGCTCCCTCAAAAACCACATAAATTTGCTTACCGATTCCTTGGCCCTCTCGTGGGCGGCCTCCAACGGGCTCAGGTTGTGCAGCTTCTCGGGGTGGTCGTGGCCGAAGACGTCGTCGATCTTTTCCTTGATCTGGAAAAGGGAGAATGTAGAAATGAATCCGTATTCTTTCTCTTTCTCTCTCTCTCTCTCTCTCTCTCTCTCTCTCTCTCTCACCCTATCTATCTATCTATTTTTCTTTCCCTCACGCTCGTTGGCTCGCTCTCCTCTCCCTCAGTTTATTCCCAACTTACCGTATCCTTGCAGTCATGGACGACGTCCTTCATCTTGTGCACGATTCCGGGCATTTTTAGCGTTTGTTGGTTGGTTGGGTGGTTATAGCTGGAAATTAAGACATAGAACTAGAACGAGAGCACTAGAGAGGAAAGGGCTGAGAAAGCGGGAGAAATTAAATGGAGGTGATGGTGAGAGACAGACACATAGAATGGGAGAGCGGGAGAGCGAAAGAGAGAGAGAGAGAGAGAGAGAGAGAGAGAGAGAGGGCAGAGAGAGGGTAAGAATGAGAAACCAAGAAAAATGCTACATCCAAAAGTACAAGTTTAGCTAGCTCTGACCGGGGAAGGTGATCTACGAAAAATTCCGAGAATCGCAACGCCACTTTTAAAAAGCTGAATTAACCTCAGATGAAGTTCTATTTATTATTATACCTATTTTTATTTATTATACCTATTCTATTTATTGAATCTAACATAAATTTTCAGATTTTCAAAAGGGCGAAAAATACTATTTATCTACAGAACTTTAGGAATTTTCAAAATATTGCCCCAGTTTACCAAAAAAAGGCACTGGAGACATGTATTATTATGCCTTAGCAAGACTTTAAGTTAGCGTTTTCCAAATCTTTAAAAAGAACCAGGCAAGTAGGGCAAGTAAAGCCAGAAAACCCGAGGAAGAGCTGGGAGAAGTGCGGCTTTTCCCCCATCCAGCCCCTCTATTTATGCCACCGGGAGGGAGGTTGTTGACAAGTCTAGAAGAGCGCGAGGAGGCAGAGAGAGCACGAGAAGAAGGAGAGACAGAGACAGACAGACAAATCGAAAGAGAGGATAAGGACACGGGCCCTATGCTAATGGCAAAAATATGTTTTCCCCGCCCCGGATGCCCCCATCTCCAGCCGTTGACGACGATATCCTGTGTACGGTCTATACCAATTTACCCCGGCAAGCAACATGAGGGCATCATCATTTTTTCGTGTTAAAAACAGTCTGCCTTCCGCCGATACGTCAATAGGAAAGGCTAGATGTTTGCATGTGGGCTAGACGTCTATAACTCACTCTAAAGGAACGTGGGAGGCAATTTCTCCTCATCGGGACCCAGAATCGGGCTAAAAAACTGCAAATTGTAGTTTTCTTGGATAGCTAAAGGGGCTAGGAAGGCCAAAGGGAGCCACTTTAATCGATTACGCTTTGAAATTCCTTAAGGTTTTTGATATTCCTATCGCTAGATTTCTTGAGGACGCCAACTAATTTTTAAAGGAACCATGAAGGCAGAATTCGGGCCTTCTGAATTTTTGGCAAGGAGCCAAGCCGAATCCCTTCACCTGAAGGGCCAGGAAAGCTCCGATTTTTCGATTTCAGACCGATTACGCTAGTAAATTCGATGTTTGACTTAAATTCGACTCATTCACGAGGGAAGTTAAATCATGCTATGTGTGGAAAATGACTGCTAACCTAAACTTAATGACTCCGTTCCTCAAAGAGTTCCTAAGCCTAGAATTTCCCAGCGTAACCGGTAGGTTAATACAATTTTTGCTTTCATAATCTCTTTAAATAGACTTTTACACCGGTTTATGCAGCTATTTGGAAAGAGCATCGCGGTCGATTTTAGCCTTCCAAACACCCCTTTGAAAAGCGACTAAAAAAGTGCCTCTGGCTTTTCCGGGGGTTAGAGTGCAACCAACCCCGGCAAAAGTGCAACCACAAGTCCATTCGCGCAAAAGTAGCCTCCTCTTCAGTACCCCAATATTGTTTCGCGTTGTTTACGCGCGGAAGGAGCACCATGTCGGGGAGTCGTCAACAAGTCTAGAAAGGAGCAAGAGGGGCGCACAAAGAGAAGCTGAATAGAGGGCATCATGGGGCCCATAGAAACGCCCTTTAATCCGGTAACATCAAAATAAGGGCAAAAAGCTACTCCTCCTCACGCACCCCGCAACAGATCCGAACCCTTGCCGCCCTTTAAAAAATTAGAGTTCAAACTCAGCTATTACTGGAAAATACGGTATTAGAAACGCATGAGGTTGCGCCGCTATTTGGACGTGAAAACGCTCGAATTCAAAAATTCTGACGTTATTCCTGAGATCCTCACCGAATTTTGATCATCCTTGAAGTTTGAATTATGAGAATTGATCAGAGCATCACCGAGACCGCGAGATTGGGTGCCTTACAAGTCATTACGACACGTAATCGACGCGCACTCAAGGAGTCGTCGTTTTTGAGGAGCTCTAACTTTTTCGCCGCAGCCAAAAATTTTTTTATAGATCGAGGATGCGTTTTGAAAATGTTTTTAGGGTTTTTGTTTTTAGCTATCCCTAAGCATAAAAACCATACATCAGTTAAAAAA